TAGCTGGAACTACAGGCATGCGCTACCACACCCGGCTGATTTTTTGATTAATTGTAGAGATGAGGTCTCGCTGACCAGGCGGGTCTCGAACCCGCGGGCTCAGGCAATCCACTCACCTCAGCCTCCCAAAGGCGCAGGATTACAGGCTGAGCCACCGAGCCCGGCTTCTATCTTTCTTAATTCATAACTGTCTTGGTGAATACTTTCACCCCCTGCGACTCCAGCCATACCATACCCAGCCTGCCATGCATGGCAATACATAAAGTTGAAAGAATTATGCAGTGAAACACCACATACTCAACATCTAGATTGTATAATTAACATTTAACTGTATAGTCATGCATTGCTTTTTTTTTTTTTTTTTTTTTTAATTTTTTGAGTTAGAGTCTCACTCTGTTGCCCAGACTGGAGTGCGGTGGCTGCTCCCGGCCACCGCAGCCTCGACCTGCTGGGCTCCGGCGATCCTTCCGCCTCAGCCTTCCCAGTAGCCGGAATTACAGGCATGTGCTACCACACCTGGCTGATTTTTGATTTATTGTAGAGATGAGGTCTCGCCAAGTTGCCCAGGTGGGTCTCGAATCCGCAGGCTCAGGCAATCCACTCACCTCAGACTCCCAAAGTGCAGGATTATACGCTATACCACCAAGCCCGGCTGTCATACATTGCTTAATGAAGGGGATGCATTTTGAGAAATGTAGGTAATTTTGACATTGTGTGGACATCATAGAGTATACTTACACAAGCCTAGATGTAGCCTAAGACACAACTAGGCTATATGGTATAGCCTATAGCTCTTAGGCTACAAACCTGTATTCATGTGACTACACTGACACAATAGTATTTGTGTATCCAAACATGCCTAAACATAGGAAGGTACAGTAAAAATATAGTATTTTATGGGACAACCCTCGTGTGTGTAATATATATATATATATATATATATATATATATATATATATATCTTTTTTCTTTTTTTTTTTTTTTTTTTTTGAGTAGGAGCCTCACTCTCACCCAGGCAGTGGCACATTCAGTCACTGCTGGTTTCAGGCGATCCTTCCGACTCAGTCTTTCAAGTAGCTGGAATTACAGGCATGAGCCACCATGCCCGGCTATAAGGTAGATTTATTAAAGGCACAATGGGCAGGACAGCAGTAAGGGCGCATGCTGTCTGCTACAAAGAGGCACCAGATAGAGGGGTTTTTTGTTGCTGCTGTTGTTTTGGGGGGTTTTTTGGCTTTTTTTTTTTTTTGCTCTTTTGAGTTGAAGT